CTCTCTCTATATATATATATATATATATATATATATATATACATATATATATATATATATATATATATATTATTGTTATTACTTTCCATAAAGATTCAGATATAGATTTACGTTGTGAATTTCGGTCATTGTACATGGTGGTGGGAGGGGGTCCATCTGTGCTACTGCATAATTATGCAATATTGAGCATTGAGTGCTTTTACCACCCCAGGCTGAAAGTCACCCTGCACAGTGTTGAAAAAAATCAGACTGCAAGATACCATTGAAAATGAGGCCTCTTAGATAATAGCTGAACTCAATTTGTGAAATTTTACATGACTTCTTGAATACTCATTCACATCTTTAGTTTTAATGTGTTTCATTCCTTATGACACATTGTTCCTTCTGTCCGTGATGACACTTACGACACATCAGAAACTGCATCATGCTGAAAATCATGCCATCAAAGTAAAAAATAAAGCTTCATTTTTTTTTTATTCACTATAACACAGTACACTGCAGGACATGCGGACAATGAAACATGCTACAAATGCACTACTGCTGCCACATTTAGCTGTAAATTTTAACTACCATCCCTCCGGCATCAGCGGGTGTTTATGATTCAGCAGCACAGACTCAGATTGTGTGTCAGATGGCCTGCGCAGGTTTATGCATGATAGTTTTTTTATATATTCAGTAGGTTTGTTTGAGGCCATTTAGATCAACTAAATGAGACTTTTCATGAAGACAGCAGCTGCAAACTCCCATTTTAACTTTTGTTTTAGTTAACGTACACTATCATTTACAAGTTTAGGGTTGGTATGATTTTTTTATGTATTTTTAAAAAAAGTCTCTTATGCTCACTAAGGCTGCAATTATTTGATGTGGATAAGTTAGTTTCTTCATCAGATTTGGAGAAATGTAGCATTTCATCACTTGCTCACCAATGGATGCTCTGCAGTGAATGGGTGCCATCAGAATGAGAGTCCAAACAGCTGATAAAAACATCACAATAATCCAAAAGTAATCCACACCAATCCAGTCCATCAGTTAATATCTTGTGAAGCCAAAAACTGCGTGTTTGTAAAAAATAAATCCATCATTAAAGCTTTTTAACTTTAAACCCTCACTTCTGACCAAAATATCCATAATAAATAATAATGCTTCCTGCAGTGAGAAAGTCCATCTCCTGATGTCCTCTCACATCAAATTCCACCATCTGTTTTAGTCAGTTTGCTCGTTTCACTTGTACCAGTGCTTGATCTGTGCATATTTCTCTCCTGATTCAAACGAGATGACTTATTCACTGGAGAAAGCAATATTTTGAATACAGGACTCATATTTCAACTGGATACAACAGTCTGAAGTTAAAAACGTCTTGATGGATTTGTTTCTTAGGCCCTGTTTACACTTGGTATTAAGATGCATTTTGGTCGATCGGATCACAAGTGGGCAATGGTAAATACAGGTGTAAACCGGGTGTGAAATATTTTGAACTTTTCCACTTTCGACCACTTCCAGAGGTAGTCGAAAACGCATTCGACCAGATTGCTTTCGTGATGTAGACACAACAGCAGTAAGTAATCTTGACGTAATCAGCACCACAGGGGATAATGTGGTCAGAAGTGGTCGAAAGTGGACAGAAGAGACGGATTAAAATGCCAGGTGTAAACGGGTATGTGTCTTCATTGGTCCGATCGACCAAAACGCATCTTACTACCAAGTATAAACAGGGCCTTTACAAACATGCAGCTTTTCACTTCTCAAGACAGGAGTGGTGTGGATTACTTGTGGATTATTGTGATGTTTTTATCAGCTGTTTGGACTCTCGTTCTGACGGCACCCATTCACTGCAGAGCATCAAGTGATGTAATGCAACATTTCTCCAAATCTGAAGAAACAAACTCATCTACATCCTGGATAGCTTGAGGATAAGTACATTTTCTTTAAATTTTCATTTTTAAGTGAACTAGTCCATCAACTTGCAAGCATTTCAAGTGTCATTCTTGTCATCGGTGGAGGGTTTGGTGATGGTAATGTGGCCACAGGAGGGAAGGCTTACCTTCGGGTCCATGTGAATGAAGCTGTGAGCACCTCTGGTGGCAAAGGTGGATCTGCGGACCACCCTGCTGTGATGGAAATGGTAATGGTGCTCCAGTCCTCCAATCTACAGAACAAACAACCATGAAAAACAGCATGGGAAATCACGGTCACACTTTGAGAAAGCCATGAAATGAACTTTTATCAGACAGCTTTGGTGGACAGAAATTGCATCTTGGCAGGGGCTATCCTACCCAAAAGGAACCAATATCAACACAGACTCCAGTATAAAAGCTTCATGCACATGGATTGCTGTTCCAACCTCATAAAAAGTGTTTTCGCCAAAGTGAATCTCTGTAGAATGGACATATGGCACACAGTGGATGGTGCCATGGAAGGTGAAGTCTAGCTGGCACATGCCTACTGCCCTCAAGATCTGACTGTGATACGCAGCACATCTATCGCACACACCACCACATCTGAGACAAACACTAAAAGGGATAGTTTAGTATTTACTCACTCTCATGTTGTTCTAAACCTGCATGCTGTTATTTTGTCAATGAGTCTATAATTTTCCATAATTTTCCCATGCACAAGGAACAGACTCAAATGTAATCATTTAAATTTCATATTTGCAAATGGCATTCTCCTTTCAACATATTTAAATTGTCACATCACAACTGCAATGTTCCAAATGCATTTTAGTTCCCTTTCAAGGGAACTTCGAACTGCGTCCTCAAGGGGTCGCTATGGGGAACGCTTCATCATGACCCGTGTCACTACAGGTGCGACTATAATATAAATAGGCGCCGGAAGAACACATCATCCTCTTCTTCATCTTCACTGACTGTTTTGTTTTGTTTGAAGCGTGCATTTCCGTGGTAAGAGCGATCTCTATTCATATCATTATGATGAGCACTAGCAAAGCGTTTAGAGGATGTGTGCATCCGTGTCGTCGTTATTTGACACCTGATGACACACGATCTATGCGTTGATTGTTTGGGCGAAGAGCACGCACGCGATGTCCTCGAGGTGGCAATCTGCATGCACTGCGAGCGTTTTCCAATGAAAAAGCTCCGCTCTCGTTTGTCTCTCTTTTCGAGGAAAGAGGGGCAACCATCTGCTTGCCGCGGTTTAGGACCCGCCGCTGCTGAGGCACGAAGGAGAATGAGCTTGTGGGGATCGCAGGTGGATCTGGCCGATGAGTTTAAAAAGGGGCTTTGCCTCTCAAGGTCGTCTCGATGAGCGTTATCTTTCTGGCCATAACCCTCCAGCTCAGGTGAGCCTTCCTTTTTGATACAGAGATCGAGAAGTAATGGAAGAGGCCGTTTTCCTCACACATCCATCGATTCCAGCATACGAGTTATGCCAACATCCAGGCGATGCGCGAAAACGGCTATGAGAAGATGCCCCCTGTAGAAGAGACGCTGACCAGCTATCTCTCTATGGGTGAGACGTCCTCTCTTAAAACTCCCTCCTTGCCATCTAAGCCCCTTCAGGATATATCTCGCTTGAATGGCAGGGCATACGAAGCAGCAGGTCAGGCTGTCGCTTCGTTGCACATGATGGCGGTGCTCCAGGCATATCAGGCTGACCTGCTGAAAGACCTGGATAAAGGCGAGGGCCTTTCTCCTGATGAGGTAGCTGAGTTGCGCCGCACCACGGATCTCACTCTCCGTGCTACTAAGCAGGCCGCCTCTGCTATGGGCAGGTCCATGGTGGCTATGGTAGTGACGGAGAGACATCTGTGGGTGAACCTGGCAGATATCGGGAAGAAAGAGAGGGGCTTTCTTCTCGATGCTCCGGTTTCGCGGTATCTCCGTTGAGACGGTGGTCGAGAAATTCAGGGAGGCGAAGGCGCGCTCAGCGGCCTTCAAATCCTTAATTCCACTATATATATATATATATGTGTGTGTGTGTGTGTGTGTGTGTATTTAATGCGTTGGTGGTTGTGTGTATAAGCCATCTGCTATCTTTCGTTGCAGTGTTTTCTGGGACCTGTGTGTTTTGTCCTTTTTCTAGGGTAGGTCCTCGGTGAGCACCCACCTCTGTTGGATTCAGAATCCGGGTGCTCGACTTGCAGTGTTTACTTCACTCGTCGATATGGTGTCCAGCCGGTATGATAGCCTGGTTTCGGCTTCAT